TTACATAAGTATTTATATTTGTGTACAAACTGTTTATATTGTCAAAAAGCCTGTGTTTTTAGGGTGATTAATGAAGTTCGTGTACTCAGACCAGTAATATTTGGGGTCACAAGTTTAAGCCATGGATATTTTGTGGGTCAGAAGATAAAAAGTTTGGGAACCACTGGTATAAAGTACCACAAAGTGAGTTTTCCTCTCCAGGTTGCAGAGAAGCTGGAGCAGCAGTCACTGTGCAACCAGTGAACTGGTATCTAAAAAAACATGTTTGGCTGTTGAACTCCCTTTCATCCTGCACCTGTTGTAGGAAATGATTAGCTGAGTCGGGCCGACACACTAACAGAGCTGTGAGAGCTAGAACAGATAAACCAAAGCCAGTGATTATCGATTAAAATTTAACCGTCCATAGCGAGTGCAGATTTATGGAGTGAGCTGTTAATCTGTTCGCTGACATGTCGGGAAGGAAAAAAAACAGGTGTATTTTATGTTCCTGCTGTTAATTTCAAGCTGAAGTGAAACAGACACGGAGCTATTTAAACAAAAAGAAACCCTGGAATCTTATCAGCAGACGGAGTGAAGCTCCTCGCGTCGAGGCTTCAGGTCGTAAAAGAACACGGAGAGCCTACCTGCCTCAGGTCGGGCCAGTCCTTTGGTAAAATATGATTGTGAATATCAATCTTCATCTTTATGCTWACTATCTAAATGAATAGGTCGACACTTTGCAGTAGTTGTGCAGAAACTCTCTCCCTGCTTTCAGTCTGAGATCAGTGAGCGACAGGTGAGTGACTGCTGAGAYGAGCTGGTCATTTATTACCTAACATCTGCAGCACTGGAGCAGAGGTGAAGCAGTCTCCTGAGTGTGTTTCTTCTAACATTCAACTCAAACACTTGTACACTTCTGCCCAGCTTGTTGTGCTTGTATTGTGATAATTAACTATTGATTTATTCACTAAAATTCACTTTAGGGGAGCCCGGGGAAAGTTGCAACACTTTTTGCATTTGACATTTCAGGTTTGAATTAGACAAACCAAATTTTAGTACAATAAACTCATGTCTGTCTGTTAATGGTTAAAACCATTTATAGATGATTAAAGCGTGTACATTTTTCACAATTTGTATTTGAAAATGAAAAGTCAGATGTTGCAACTGACCCTGGGGCCAGGGACAGTGGCAACATTGTTTGGGGTGGTGGTTACAACATATTAATAATACAATATATTTCACTGTAAATAAAAGTTTTATTATTTTTATATTTGTATTATTGCTAAACTAATAAAAACTAAGTTATAATGATATTACAGTGTTATTTATTTATTGTTTGTGATCAAATGATGAATATAGATTAGCCTTGATGAGTAGACCTTATATACAGATGTCAAAGACTCTAACTGATATAAAATACAGTTGACTTTTTGAGACAAGAATAAAAAAACAATTTGTGAGACAATTAACGTTTGTTTTGTCTATTATCACTGTACGCCTACATTATGTAACATTTACAATAAAATAAACTGGGATTTTAAAACCATTGTTGAAAACAACAACTGCAGAAAATACATCTTAAACATTTTTCTGTTTTAAACTAAAAAAATTGTCATGAATACCCAACACCCTTTAAGTGTAAACTTAATTTAAATATCTTAATATCATCTGTATGTGCTCTGTTTTTATATGGATTTATCATACGGGGACAGCTGCAACAACTGTTACAACTGTCCCCCTTCCTCTCAGCCATGATAAAACCTCATGTGTTAGCTAAATAAGCTCATCTGGATACATGTTAACTAGATTAGTTAAAAGTCAACAKATCACTTGTTTAAACCRTATAAGTTTGAGCTGGATCACAAAAACAGTGACAACAGTAAAACAAAAATAAAGCTGGGTAAAAAAATAGTTTGGTACCTCAAAAACTGTTTTTTTGTTTTTTCAAATAAATCCAGTTTTTGAATCTGCTTACTTTTTCTTTACAAGGTGGGACATCTAACTGAGCATGTACAGTGTGAGTGTCATCACTCTGGCTTGTTTCTGTTTGGAGAAAAATCACATGTTGCAACCGTACCTTGTTGCTACTGCTCCCCGGTCTTCCCTAAAAAAAGCTTTTCTCTGAAATATTTCTTACAAAATAAGCCTAACTTGTCATTTTGCAATGAGATTTTTTTTTAACTTTTTGAAGTGATTCTTTGTATTAAATTAACGGCTGAGGCTCAAAAGGTTGCTTTTATAACATTAGTCAACATCACGTTCTGCTAATTTATGGTAAATTGTCTCCAACATTGATCATAATCGATCCGTGCAGGAGCCAAACAAAACGAGGCCTTGTCACTGATAAATGTGCAATTGAACAGTGAAGCAGCCCTTCAGGCCGTGGCTTAATGAGACAGAACCAGTTGTTCCGCCGTCTTCGTCACTTCAGCTTCTCACATGCTGTTCAGCYACTTAGTGGCTATTTCACGTGTCTTATATCATTTTTTACAGAGATGGTTATCGACTCTCCTAAGCGTAAAGTGATGCTGAATTTGACTTCRTTATGGGGCAGAGCAGCATCATTCTGCTGACTCAGCACTGAACAAGAGGTCCACAGTTCCAAAGTTCCTTTCAGCTTTTAAATACAAAAACACCATCAAGTCACGCAACTCGTTTTTTGAGAAATCGTTTATTTAAAACCTGCATATTTTATAGACCCTGCCTGCTCTTGTTATTGAGATTTGAAGCCAGCAGGACCTGGTTTACAAAATCTAACATGTTCCTGTTGGGCTTTAAGTCCACAATGACACCGTCACATGACCTTACTTTTAGACATAAAATAATAATTACAGCACTGGAAAAATTAATATTTGAACACAGAGCAGCAAGGTGAGAATTATGTACATAACACCTGAAAATAATGAGATTTTATATTTATTTTACAAACAGTGTTATTTTGTTTACACAAAGAGGGCGGGGCTAAAACTTAAAACTAGAAGTTGAAGCTGCACTGTAAAAACTCTCCATCTTACCAAGTTTTAAAATCTTATATCAAGTATTTTTGATCTTGTTTTGAGACTGATTTACTAAACAAGAACTGATTGTGTAAGAATAATAATCTTGTTTTCAGAATGTGTAAGATTATTTG